ACTATTTTGTATCTTAACTGTATCACTGCCAATATTCTGGTTGTGATATCTATCATTTTTCGAGATGTCACTATTTTAGGACAAAAATGAATAGAAATAGGAGGTCTAGTATTTTCCTATTGTACACTAATGGATAATTTTGTAATCATGCTGGCAAATGTGTATCCCACTTTATAGAAGACTGTTAAGCACTGAAAAAAAAACCCCACTGAATGTGTAGTATTAAGCAAAGGGAAGATATGACCAGATTTGTGTTTTTAAAAGATCGCTCTGACTATAGGGATGGGGCACAGTTAGGCTGCACGCCCAGAGACTAGTCAGGAGGCTGGTGAAGGATGGAATTGGGTCATTGGCCACAGGTTGGATTTGAGAGCTCTTTTGATGGTTAAATGGACAGTTACTGGGCAGAGGGAAGTGTTAACTGGTTATGAAATGAAGCATATGAGCACCAGTGGAATAGGATAAGGGTGCTTATTTATGTCGTCTCTTCCAATTACCATTTACCATTGGTCTAGCCAATGCAGTAAAGCAAAAGAAAATGTGTCCAAATTGGAAAATAAACAAAATTCATTACATACAGATGGTATGATTTTATACATAGTAAATAGAAAATAATTTATAGACAAGTAAAAAATCRTCAGGGCTTCCAAATAGATTAATCAACTAAAAGCAGTTTGTCACAAACACTTAAAAAGTGAAAAATTTAAAAAGATAAGTTTAAAATAACACTTGTAACTCAGTGGTAGAGTACATGCTTAAGGCCCTGGGTTCTATCCCCAGCACCACCAAAAAACAAAAACAAACAAACAAAAAAACCAAAATAAAACACTACAGCACTGAAAAAAAATAACAAAAATCACCAAGGAATAAATCTATTGAAATAAGTTGCTGAGGCTAGCTTCATACCTGAAATCCTCAGTTTTTTTGTTTTTTTTTTTTTTAGTTTGACTTCTGGGGATCAAACCCAGAGCTTCACTCATGCTAGGGAAGTGCTGTACCACTGAGGTACAACCCTGCTCCGAATGTAGAATTTTATTGAGAGACATTAAAAAAAAGATCTAAATAAAGGAAGAAAAATATACCATATATATCCCATGCTAATAGATAACTCAGTGACATAAAGATGTCACTCAAAATACTTTGTTTTCCTAAAAATACTTTACAAAGTAATACAATTTCAGGACAAAATATCCTAAAGTTTTATTCTCTAGAACTTGAGGTAGCTCCAAAATTATATGGATGTGTGTGTTTAGGACAGCCAAGACACTCTTTAAGAAGAACAAAATTGGGGGATTTCCCCTATCAGATGTTGTGACTTATAATAAAGATCCAGTAATTCTGACAGTGTAGGCTTGGTGTAGACTAATGCATCAGAAGAGAGAGAGCAGGAAACACACCCAAATATGTCAGAGATGGTCCTGCAGGTCAGTGGGAAAGGGTGCACTCTTCATTGGGTGGAACTGAAAAAACTGTTTATCCATATGAGAAAAAAAAATGAAAAAGAATGTCACCTCACTCTACATACGTCCTCAAATTATAAAACGTGGAGAAAAAATCAGTAGGGAAATTCTTTATGACTTTGGGATATAAAGGCTTCTCTCTCTCTCTCTCTTTCTTTCTTTCATGAGGACTGGCGATTGAACCCAGGTGTACCCTACCACTGAGCTACATCCCCAACTCTCCCTCTGCCCCTCCCCTTTTAAATTTTGAAATGGGTCTCGCTAAGTTGCTGAGTCTAAACTCAAACTTGTTGTTCTCCTGTTCTCAGTCTTCTGAGCAGCTGGGATTCCAGGTGTGTGTCACTGTGACTGGCTGATAAATCAKCTTTCTAAAATAAGTTTAAAAATTCCCACTGATTTTCTTTTGTTTTGGTGGTGGTGCTGGGGATTGAACCCAGGGCCTTAGGCTTGCAAGGCAAGCACTCTACCAACTGAGCTACATCCCTAGCCCCCCAATAACTTTTAAAGGAAAAGATTGGTACATTAAAAATAAGATTTTCTATTCATCAAAAAAAAAAAAAAAAACAAAAAAAAAAACAAACCAACAACATGGGGCCAGGTATGGCAGCAAATGCCTATAATCTCAGATACTCAGGAGACTGAGGCAGGAGGATTGCAAGTTCAAGGCCAGCCTTGGCAATGAAATGCTATCTCAAAATAAAAAATAAAAAAGGGTTGGGAGTGCATTAGTCTACACCAAGCCTACACTGTCAGAATTACTGGAGCTTTATTATAAGTCATAACATCTGATAGGGGAAATCCCCCAATTTTGTTCTTCTTAAAGAGTGTCTTGGCTGTCCTAAACACACACATCCATATATTTTTTGGAGCTACAAGGTGGCAGAGCACCCCTTGGTTCAATTCTCCATACTTCAAAAACCAAAATCCAAAACAAAACAGTTTAGGGAGGGTGAGAAGATCAAATCAATCACAAGCTTGTAGAAGATTTTTGCAACACATATAATTAGCAAGAGACTAGTCTGCAGAATATTTAAAGAATTCCTAATAAATTAAAGGAAAAAAATCACCTATTTTAAATGGGTAAAGACTTGAATGGAACTTTTATAGACAGAGAAACCCAGATGGGTTATAAAATAAATAGATGCTCAACCTCAAGAGTAATCAAAAGAAATGCAAATTAAAACCATAATGAGATACCATTTCCCACCCACCAGATATGCATAAAATAAAAATTTGATAATAGGAAGAGCAGGTAAGGACACAGAAATGATATCAAAAATTTTTATCCACTTATGGTGGGAGTATAGATTGGTGCAATGGCTTCATGAAAACAGCTTCATGTTATCTAGGAAAGTTGGACCTGAACAATTCAATTCCTAGAACTATACATACATAAGAATGTTAGCAAAGTATTATTTGCGGTAGTAAGAAATTGGAACAGCCCAATGTCCATCAATAATAGAATAAATAGATTATGATATATTCATTCAATTTGCTATATAAAGATGGAAATAAATGAGCAACAGCTATAGAATCTATATGAATGACCTCAAAAACAATGTTGAGAGAGGAAAGCACAGTTTTTAGAAAAATATATACAGTATAACTTCATTTTTCCAAAGGCAAAAAGCAGTTAATATAAAACAGTGTATTGTTTAGGGATATACTGTTTGTCATATACCTAGTAAAACTCATTAAGAAAATAAAATAAAGGCTGGGGATGTGGCTCAAGTGGTAGCGAACTCGCCTGGCATGCGTGCGGCCCGGGTTCGGTCCTCAGCGCCACATACAAAGATGTTGTTTCCAACGAAAACTAAAAAATAACTATTAAAATTCTCTCTCTCTCTCTCTCTCTAAAAAAAAAAAAAATTCTCCCTCTCTCTTAAAAAAAAAAAAAAAAAAAGAAAAGAAAAGAAAAGAAAAGAAGCTGGGTGGAGTGGCACATGCCTAGAATCCCAGTGCTGAGGCTATCTAGTGAGGCCCTAGCAATTAAACAAGACCCTGTCTCTAAAAAGTAGGTAAAAGACTGGGATGTGGCTCTGTGGTTAAGTGCCCCTGGATTCAATCTCCCATACCAAAATAAATGAATGAATGAATGATGTCAAAACTCACTGTAGGGTAACTCCAGAGAGACAGGAAGGGCTTGTGATTTGAGAAAGGAAACAGATGACCTCTGGATAAGGAAATGTTTTATTCCATGGACACACAGATCAACCAGATGGAAGTGGTCACAGCTGCCCTAAGTGTGGGTGAGATGGCCCAGGAAGGGGTAAAAGGATCATTATGTTGAGTAGGCAGCTCAGTAGTGGAGCACTTGCCTAGCACGAATGAGGCCCTGAGTTTGATCCTCAGCACTGCATTTAAAAATAAATAAATAAAAAAAAAAAAACAAAAAAAAAAACCATTAACCCTGGAAGATGTTGGAGGAGAAGAGGGAGGAAGTTGCTGATAAGACCAGGTAAAGAGAAAGAAGAATAGGAGTAGAGTAATTAGAAGTCAAGAGGTGGGCTGAGATGCAGGCTGAGGCAACATTGGTAGGATTACGTCAGATTCCCTGATGACCTTGGCTGAAGGAGTTTCATATAAGATCTGGGTTTGGAAGCCATGCAGTTTGACTGATTGGGCGATGAAAAGGTGCCAACCTAGAGTAGGGACAAACTCTGAAAAAGTTTGAGAAGGTGAAGAAAGGGGAGGGGAAGGGTGGAAGTAGGAGAAATGGAGATGGGCAGAGGTGCCTGAGTGGAGTGGGAAAATCTTTCTTTTCTATTTTTGGTATTGGGGATTGAACCCAGGAACACTTTACCACTGGGAGTGGTAAAAAACAGCTACCTCAGAGACTCCCGCCCCTTTTTTGAGACAGGGTCTCACTTAATTGCCCACGTCCTAGCGAGGTTGTTGAGGCTGGCTTTGAATTTATGATCCTCCTGCCTCAGCCTCAAACCGCTGGGATTAAAGGCATGCATCATCTCAGCAGGCTGGAGAACTTCTTGATGGTTGTCACAGGATCTTCAGGTGGCTAATTAAAACCATAAGGAGATACATTTTCATTCCCATCAGTTTCAACAAAAATTTATGTCAGACGATGACAAGTGGTAATAGGGATGTAGAGTGACCAGCCTGAACACTAGAGTGGAAGGGTAAATAATAAAACCACCTTGGAAAGGAATGGGCAATATCTAGGAAAGCTCGAGATACATGGATATTCCATTCCTAATAGCCCAGAGAAACCTACTCATGGGTATCAGGAGGTAAGTATTTCAAAGGTTTGTTTGTTTTTAACGTCGGATATGCTGGCTGAACCAATGAGACAAAGAACGGCCTTGGCTGGTTCTCAGGCCGCTCTCCTTGGTGCCAGAGGTCTAAGGGCCGCACCTGATAAAACGTGTACTTTTCTCCGCAGGGATCGAAGTCTGTCACGGCCCCGCCCCTGTGCGCTGGGCCCCGCCCCGGACGACTCAGCCCTCGGGACTCATGAATATGCAAGCAAGAGGAAGATATTTAAAGAAGACGGCGCCACACGCAGATCTCTAACGCGCGCCTCCCGCCAGGTGCCGGTTTTCAGCCCAAGGCCCACCCCCCTTTGCCTGTGTCCATCGCTGCAGCGGAAGCGCCGCCAGCATGTCTGACAAACTGCCCTACAAAGTCGGTGAGTTCCAGGACTGCAGCCTGCTGCGACTACTCTGTGCGTGCCGAGGGTTTGTGCGGGATGGCGGCCGCCGGGCTGACCCGGAGCTTGTTGGGGCAGCGGCCGTAAGGCTGCCGCGGGGCCGCCCCGGGCGGCCCCGAAGCCCCTTGAATCACAGTCTCCGCGCGCTTCTGAGCGCAGGGCCGCCTGGGGGCTGGAGTTCTCCCATCGCGACGAGCGGGTCTTGGGAGGCAGCCGCGGACTACAAGTTCCGACATGCCCCGCGACGCCGCGCGGGCTACCAGCGCCGATCTGGTGGCGCGTTCCGCTTCTAGCGGCTAGGTGGGTGCAGAAAGTGCACCTGGCTGCGGCCTGGAACTAGTGGCCCCCGCTGCAACCTGCCTAGGCATCCAGATCCTGCCTTTTGGCCAACTGGGTGGTCCCAGGCAAGGGCTCACCTTTTTCCTGGCCTCTTATAGGGAAGGCGAGGGCACCCGCTTGTGAAGAGAGGCCTGGAAAGGGAGCCCGAGGCCGCACTGATCCGCTCACCGGGAACTTAGGGCTAGTTCTTCAACCTGTGGGACCTGCCCAACAGGGACCATCGTGCAGAGAATCACGAATAAAATTTAGAGAGTTTGGAAAAATTCTCCCTCTGCCCCACGGACCAGAAGGCTGATCAAACCTTCACTGAGTGTTTAACTGTGGCATGGACACTACCTTCTAGCTTTATTCTAGATTAACCCATCTTATTCTCATAGCTCTCAAGAATAGTTGAGGGACTATTTTTGCTTTAAGATGGATCCTAAAGGTCACTTGTCTACAGTTTTACAGCTGGAAAGTGATGGAGCAGGATTTGAACCAGGGTATCTAGACCTCTGAGCCCACCCATTTCACCACTGTGTACCAGTGAACACACTTGGAACAACCTTATTAAATTTTTACAAGAATCTGTTCAGGTTGATTAGCAGCTTTAAAAGTAAAGTTACTTTAAGTAACTTTAAGGCACCATTAACTCTGCACCATAAAAAAAAAAGTGTAATGGAAATGCTTTTTATATTGAGTATGTTACATGTCAAAACTGATCAAATTACATACCTCAAATATGTGCATTTTATTGTAATTAAAAAATAAATTTTTAAAAATTAAATTTCAATTAAAAAGAAAAAATTTTCAATTAAAAAAGACACCATTAATTGGATGAAGTGGGCACTGTGATAATCTCAGCAGCTCTGGAGGCTAGGACAGGAGGATTGCATGTTCAAGGCCAGCACCAGTAATTTAGCTAGGCCCTAAGCACCTTAGACCCTGACTCAAAAATAAAGAATTAAAAAAAAAAGGGGCTGGTTATGATAAAATTGCCCCTGGGTTAAATTCCTAGTATCCCCTCCCACCAAAAAAGAACCCCCTTAAAGTGGAGAAAGATACCATTATATTTGTATCTGGTGATTTGTGATTACAAAATCTTTTTAGAAGTGGACATTATCCCATTGTACAGAGGAAGAAACTTGTAAATATTCTGTTGAAATTGAATTCATCAGAGTAGACTATTGCCCACATTGTGTGGTTGATGACGCTGTAGCCCAGAAAGGCAAGGTCACATTAGTGGAATGGCTGGAATAGGGACTTTGTCATACTGTGGAGGGTCAGGGTAGAGGGCATTGAGTTGTGTGGGTGAACATAAGGGTGGATTTGGAATGGGGGGTCTTGGTTATGTAAGAATGGAGGAAAGAAGCCTCTGTCAAAATCTGCAGATTTTACCCATTTGGCATTTTGTGTAATCCTCAGGGCACACAGCAAGGTTAGGGATGGTTATCCTCACTCTATAGATGAAGAAGGAGAGGTTTAGCAAGGGTCTTACTGTTCCTCTTGTGTTCTTGCAACTTCTGCAGGTCCTCAGCTCCCCAGGGTACCAAAAGCCCCAGAACTTGGAGCTCCAGCCCCTTCTGCACCCTTGGAGTTGAGGGTTCCATGGAAAACTCTATGGCTAGCACAGTTTCCATGAGGACATCATCGAAAGTATTATTTTTAGGTTGAGGGACAGATGGTAATAAAGTAGGTGGGATAGCACAGAACCCATTGTCACCTATTGCAGGGCCTTGTGAAGGGTCTATCTTTGCCTGGCCACCAGACCCACCTTTGCCATTGACTGGCTATGGAACCTGTGGCAAATTCCTGTCTGGGCTTTTTCCTCATTGGTAAAATGCTAGGAGTTGGACTAGGTTCTGAGGGTTTTTTTTTTTTTTTTTTTTTGCCACCTCTGGCCAGTGCCAGCCCCCTTTCCTGAATGTGTTCTTTTTTCTTTTCCTTTCCTTTTATTTTTTTTTAGTTGTAGATGGACACAATAACTTTTTATTTATTTATTTTTTTATGTGGTGCTGAGGATTGAACCCAGTGATTCACACATGCTAAGCTAAGCAAGCGCATTCTGCCAGTGAGCCACAATCCCAGCCCCTGAGTCTTCTGTTGTTCAATTTTTTTTTTTTTTTTTGGTACCAGGGATTGAACCCAAGGGTTCTTTTTTTTTTTTTTTAAAGAGAGAGTGAGAGAGGAGAGAGTGAGAGAGAATTTTTAATATTTATTTTTTTAGTTCTCGGCGGACACAACATCTTTGTTGGTATGTGGTGCTGAGGATTGAACCCAGGGCCTCACATGTGCTAGGTGAGAGCTCTACCACTGAGTCACAACCCCAACCCCAATTTTTTTTTTTTTTTGGTGGTGCTGGGGATTGAACCCAGGGCCTTGTGCATGTGAGGCAAGCACTCTACCAACTGACCTATATCCCCAGCCCCCTGAATTCTTAATGAATTGTCAAATGAGGTTATTAGTTAATGGGGAGAGGTATTGGAGGTTTGGGAAAAGTTGAAAAGAAAAGTAAATTTACTAGGAAAATATTAAATGATTGCTGGAATGTGCTTGTCCCTTTAGATTTATGATCTTAGTAATAAGACCTCTTGGTGTGGTTGATTCTCCTTCTGGGTCACTGGCTTAGGTGCAGCAGAGGGTTGGGTTTCACCAGGGTGGGAGTTTTGCCAAGTGAGTTCTCAGAGGAAAGAGGGCAGAGGGATGGAGATTGAAATCCTAAGCTGGGGAAGGAAGAAGTTCTTACCTGACTGGTTGCCATCTTGTTGAAGTTGGGGCAAGAAGGAAAGAATTGGAAAGTTGGGACATGACCAGAGTTGGTTGCTTGAAATCCAGATTTCCAAGGGAGAGCTATCATCCTCAGTGTCTGTCCTCCCGGGGTGGGGGGTGGGGTGGGGGGTGGGCAAGGGGAGTGGTAGGAAGTGAGATCTCAAGGTGCAGCAGGAGTGGTGACTTCCATGGGGGTGGAGTATTTCACCTCTGACACTATTCTGGTGCTGGATTGAACCCAGGGTCTTGCATGTGCCTACCATTGAACTAGACCTGCAGCCCTTCTTGTTTAAAGGTTCAATAGGAAGCAGAATGATTCAGTTTTGTTATTTATTATTAAGCTCTCTAGAGTCAATTGGGCACACTGGTGCAGGTCTGTAATCCCAGCAATTTGGGAGGCTGAGACAAGAGGATTGCAAGTTCAAGGCCAACCTGAGTGGCCAATTTAATAAGACTCTGTCTCAAAATAAAATTAGAAAAAGTGCTGGGGTAGGGGTACACACCTGCAATTTCAGCAACTTGGGAGGCTGAGACAGGAGGATTGCAAATTCAAGGCCAGCCTTAGCATCTTGGTGAGGCCCTAAGCAATGAGACAGTGACAGAACTTATAATAGTATCCTTTCCTGCTTGAGAATTGGCAAAATTTGAGACATTTGAGGTATCAGCTAAAGACCAAAATAAACTGTTTATTCTGATAACATCAAAGCCAGAGGTGTAGCTTATTGTAAAAGCCAAATGATCCTGCTAACTGAACCCTGCTTACCCACCAGTCACAGTCAAGGCAGCTGAGAATACCTGATTACCTGATTCCTGCAGGTGGGCAGGTAGGTGCTTGCTTGCAAAAAGAAGGGAGAGCCAAACTGAGCATGCCCAGTTTATTCATCTCACATTCATTTATTTTTCTAGCTGACTTAAATTTTTTTTTTTTTAGGGTTGATGGACCTTATTTTATTCATTTATTTATATGTAGTGCTGAAAATTGAACCCAGTGCCTCACACATGTGAGGCAAGCAGTCTACCACTGAGCCACGATCCCAGCCCATCCTCTCATATTTATTAATCAGACAAGCCAATCCACCTTCCTTGGGACAGAGAATGTTATTTATACTGATGAATTCCCTCCATGTGGAAACATCAGGAGCGGGGAGGAAGCATTTTCATGTTGCCACGGAGCTCAAGGAACTGTATCAAGTCCAAGATGTTGGATAATATTTGAGTGTTGAATCACCAAAAGACATAATGTGGAGAGGAAATGGAGCTAAAATTTTTAGGGAATGAGTGACCTGGAGGTGACAGTAGAAAGGAAGGGTGGTGGGAGGTGATAGATCTTTTTTGAAGGGGTACTTCTGTGTTGTAACTTTGGTGTATCTGGGTGATTCTTTGATTAAATGTATTCTCTACAAGACAGTAAGCTGCACTTAAACAGGTACCATGTTTTTCTCCTTAGGCTGCCCAGTTGCATACATAGTTACTAAATGAGAGAATGCAGTGACACATAGTCAAGCCYAAGGGTTTGGGGCGCATATATGGATCGGGTCTTTACACTGTGCTCATGCTTCGTGGTTGGGAGGAAGTGGCTTATGGGACTCCCATTCATCTTGCCCCTGCAGCGGACATTGGCCTGGCTGCCTGGGGACGCAAGGCCCTGGACATTGCGGAGAATGAGATGCCTGGCCTAATGCGCATGCGGGAGATGTACTCAGCCTCCAAGCCACTGAAGGGCGCCCGCATTGCAGGGTGCCTGCACATGACAGTAGAGACTGCTGTCCTCATCGAGACTCTTGTCGCCCTGGGTGCTGAGGTAAGACCCACTGCTGTGTGACCCTGGGTGAGTCCCTTCCCCTCTCTGGGTTCCGCCAGGGAAGAAGGCTGTTCAGGAGTGGGGAGAAGTCCAGGTGTGGGGCCAACTTTGGGCCAGCAGGGTCTCTCCTCCCTATCACTTGAGTTTTCCCTTTCCCAGTGCTGCCACCCTCTTGGTGAATGTTCTACAGATTTTCTCTGTGACCAGAAAGATAGCTTCTGACTGAGCTCAACACACCTTCCTGGCTTAGAGCTCTAGTAGGAAAAACTCAACCTCAAAGTCCTATTTAGTGTTCTAAGGACTGCCTTTCATTGTCCCTACTGTGGTCATGTGCCTGCCCTGGACCAATCATGCTTTCCAGAAGATTGGAGTGCTTTGATTGATTCAGTCTGGGTCATGTGTACCAATGATTGACAGTTTATTCAAGATCTCAGTGAGTCGGTATGCAAGGTGGTTTCCAAAGGTGAGCAGGGCAGTGCCAGGCAGCCAAAACCAACAGACTACTCCAGGGCTCAGTCCTTAGCCCTCTTCTTTTTTCTTCACATTCAATCTCTTCCTTTTTTTTTTTTTTTTGGTACCAGGGATTGAACCCAGGGGTATTTAACCACTGAGCCACATCCCTGGCTCTTTTTATAATTTATTTAGAGACAGGGTCTCACTGAGTTGCTGAGGCTGACTTTGAACTTTCGATCCTCCTGCCTCAGCCTCCTGAGCTGCTGGGATTACAGGTGTGTGTCACCATCCTGGGCCACATTCAGTCTTGGTGGTCGGATTTTATGACTTTAAATACTGTCTGTATGGTGACGACACCCAAATACCTGTATTTAGGCTGAACTTCTGGAATTCCAGTCTTATACCTTCTGGTTCTAATGTGTCTTTTCCACTTGGAGATCAGGTACATATCTCAAATTTTTGAACAAACTCGATTTTTAGCCTTCTGCTCTTCCCGGAGTCTTCCCCATGTCAGTAAGTGGCAACCCCAGCCTTCCAGATTCTCTCAGTTCAGGAAACCTGGACACATGACCGCTCATCACCTCCAGGGTTCCCACTGTGTTTCCTATGGACTTTTCTTCAGTAGCCTCTTTACTTGTCTCTTTGCTTCAGCCCTTTCCCTTCTACCAGAGCTGCATCTTGTCACTGCTATGGCTCCCATCCACTCACCCAGTGTTTGGTTGTGGCACTGGCTGGACTGTGGTCCCAGCCTCTCACACCTACAACCAGGGCTTTTCCTTCTCCCTGCCCATGACCCTGGTGTTTCTGACCATCAGTGACCCACAGCTTTGTTTTGCCGACCCTTCTAGGTGCGGTGGTCTAGCTGTAACATCTTCTCCACTCAGGACCATGCAGCAGCTGCCATTGCCAAGGCTGGCATTCCAGGTGAGGCCTACTTGCTCCTGGGGCATGTGGGAATGCATGAACGGACTCCTTTTCTCCCTGTTTGTTTCATTGACCCCTAGAGCAACAGGCTTCTTACAGCAGGGCAGAGGATCCTAGCCTGGTGACCCATAGGAAAGAGCTGCTTTGTTTTACTATCATCTAAAATCCTGGGGAAGTGCTTATTAAGCCATCTCAAGCCTGTGACTGGGATGGGCAGGATCTTATGATTGGGAGCCACATGATATAGAGGAAAGGAAGTTCCTTAAAGGAAGGATGTGGATTTGTTTCCAAAGAACTGGGGAGGGAGAGGGCAGAAAAAGAGCCCAGAGGTCCACTGTAGAGATATGGTAGTATAAGGGGCTAGGAAGGACCAGGTCTAAAGAAGAAGGACTTTCTCATGAACTGCTGGAGAAGGGCACATGTCTGCATTAAGAGGAGGGAGTAGTTAGATCTGATGGTGATTAAGTAGGACATTCAAGATTCCTTCTGATCAGCCACAGATGAGATGAAGAGGGCTTCTTCATAGACTGTCTGGGATTAAATGGGCAAGGCCTCAGCCTTGACTGGGTTCCATGACCCCATGAAAGGCCTTATTTTCAAGACCATTATATTTTCTAGTTGTGAGAAAAGGCAGCTGGCCCTGCTTGGCCTATGTCCTTTGCTCACAGTAATTTCCTGGGAACCCCACACCTGTGTCCTTGTTACTCCATATGATGGGAGAAACACAGCTGGCCCTCAATAGCTCTGGGTTCTGTGCCTCTCTGGGATACCATGCTACATGATACAGGCACATCTTAGCCTTTCTCTGGGTGTAAGTGGTGACAGTGGTAACGCCTGCCCCGCAGGGCTTCCATAAGGAAAAATGAGATGCAGTATAAAGCGATAGAGTAATGTCTGGCACAGAGAAAGTGCTTCATTTGTAGTAGCTGCTATTAGTAATTTTTTGGCCAGACATTGCCTGAGACTACCCACCACAGAGGCTGCTGTGCCCTTAAGACCTTTCAGAACAGAACAATGTCTGGATCCAGCCATGTGGTTCCCACTGAGTAGGTGGTCTCACTATGGGTGGGAGCTCTGGTCTGTGTGGGTTGATACCCAGTCCTTGGGGCTTAGGCAGAAGGGGATGAGAAAGGAAACAATTTCCACATACTTGTACCTGTGGGGCAATACTTGGCCTCTGTCTCATTTAATCTGTATTGTTGTGAGCCCCATATACAGAGGAGGAAACTGAAGCTCAGAGAAGTGAGGTGATTAGCTCAAGGTTATATAGCTAGTAAGTGGCAGAGCCAGGATTTGAACTCAGATCTCTCCTGTTCCAAGTTGTGTTTGTACCCCTGCTGGGTTCTCAGGGCTGGAAGTGGCTGGGCATGGAAATTAGGAAGGAGGTAGCATTGGCTCTGCCTGGGCCGTTCCCTTGAGCAGAGGTGCCGATGGGGAAGGTCAGGCCCTGATGTGCCACTCACCCTCCAGTGTATGCCTGGAAGGGTGAAACCGACGAAGAGTACCTGTGGTGCATCGAGCAGACACTGTACTTCAAGGATGGGCCCCTCAATATGATTCTGGACGACGGTGGAGACCTTACTAACCTCATCCACACAAAGTACCCACAGCTTCTGTCAGGTGAGCAGGGCCAGGGGGTGGGCTGGGTGCCCGAGGCCTGGAAAAATGCCCAGATTCTGTGGAAGATAGGAGGACATGAGACTCTTGCAGGCAGACAAGCTGGGGCCTGGCCTCTGGATTTCTGCCGACATGGGGCTGGGTGGCTGAGGTTGCTGGCTGAGTTGATAGCCCAAGGGCTGGCATAATGCCAAGACTGAGAATAGCTGGGAAGGAGCTATTTTTTTGTTAAAAGCATGGTGGGGAGGAGAGTATCTGGGGAGTGGTATATGGAGAGTGCAAAGGCCCTGAGGCAGGAAAGGAGTGACTGTTAAGTAAATAGGAAGCTAGCATGGCTGCAATGGATGGAGGGAGCCTTCCTTAGGGAATATTCCATGATGTGGAGCTTTAGTTGAAGGCCAGGTGTGACCTAAAAATGCTATAAGAAAGTTTGGCTTAACCCTGAGAGAAAAGGAAATAATTGGAGGGATTTGAGATTTTTGTTAAAATATACATGAAAAAAGTGGCTATAACTGCTTTATGGAGGATGAACTGTGGCAGGAAGACTAGGTGAGAAATGATGGCAGCCACAATCATTTGGGTGTGGTGGCACATGCCTATAATCCTAGTGACCTGGGAGACTGAGGCAGGAGGATTGTCAAAATCAAAGCCAGCCTCAGCAAGTTAGCGAGACCTTAAGCAACTTAAGGGATGGGGATGTGGCTCAGTGGTTAAGCACTCCTGGGTTTAATCCCTGGTACCAAAAATAAATAAATAAAACCAGAAGAAGAAAAAGTGATAATAGCAGTGAGAATGGAAAGGTTGGGAGAGGCTGGGAGGTGGAATCATCTGGCCTGGTGATGGATTCCCTGTGGCTCCTCCCTTATGTTGTCCTGGGTGATTGGGTGGACTGTACTGTCAGTCACGGAGCTGGGAACCCTGAAAGATGAATAGCATTATGGGATAAAGATGGGGAATTTAGGTGAGTCAGAGCTGGTCTCTGATATTCTTTCCCTTTTGTTCAGGCATCCGAGGCATCTCTGAGGAGACCACAACTGGGGTCCACAATCTATATAAGATGATGGCCAATGGGATACTGAAGGTTCCGGCCATCAATGTCAATGACTCTGTCACCAAGGTGAGCCCTTGGGGCAGTGCCAGCTCCAGCTTAGAGAGTCCTTCACAGATGGCATCAGTGAGCCACAGATGTGATGATTGTATGCAGTGGTAGCAGGCTATAGTGACATGGGCAAGGGCTGTTCCCAGACCCTGAGGGATTTTCAGACCCATGTTATCATCATCCTGAAGAAGCCTACCCAGGAAGGCTGCAGACCAGGGACATGAAGCCCTCGTCTGAGGGGAAAAGGGGTATAGACCAAGGGTAACGAGTACATTAAAGAAGGAAAAAAACTGCACAGTGGGCCTCAGACCTGGGTTTTAAGAGCATTGTCTTTGGCTGTCACGAGCTTTAAAATTAACCCGGTTCTTTGATCCAGCAGTCTCTCCTGGTGATCGATGCCTAGAAGGCTTCTGGACCAGCAGGAAAGACTAGGGAGAAGGTCTTGGAGCTGATTAGGGTGAGGGGCATGTTGGGCATGTATGGTCGGGAGGAGTCCCAGAGGGGTTCAGCCAGGCCGAGTTGCTGAGTGGGCCTGAGGCTTGGGGCCCTGTGGAACAATTCTGAAGCCTAGCCCCAAGACCTTGTTTGTCCCCATCATCCCTGCCCTGTCTCTTTTCAGAGTAAATTTGACAACCTCTATGGCTGCCGGGAGTCCCTCATAGATGGCATCAAACGGGCCACGGATGTGATGATTGCGGGCAAGGTGGCAGTGGTAGCTGGCTATGGTGACGTGGGCAAGGGCTGTGCCCAGGCCCTGAGGGGCTTTGGGGCTCGTGTCATCATTACCGAGATTGACCCTATCAATGCGCTACAGGCTGCCATGGAAGGTATGATGAGGTGGGGTCAACACTGGGGCCAGGGGAGAGACAAGCCCCTCCTGGATAACCCATGGCTACTGTCTCCACAGGGTATGAGGTGACTACCATGGACGAGGCTTGCAAGGAGGGCAACATCTTTGTCACTACCACAGGCTGTGTGGACATCATCCTGGGCCGGTAGGTGCCGGTGGGCATCTTGGGGAGCAAAGGAGGGGTGTAGACTCGTGAATGCTCTTTGTCTCTGATGGTCTCCTGTGGGCTTGGGCTCCCTGACAGGCACTTTGAGCAGATGAAGGATGATGCCATCGTGTGTAACATTGGGCACTTTGATGTGGAGATAGATGTGAAGTGGCTCAATGAGAATGCTGTGGAGAAGGTGAACATCAAGCCCCAGGTGAGAGGCCGGCACCTGCAGTGGAGGACTGAGCCCACCTGCTTGTGGGCTGCCCCCCAAGGAGAGCAGTTAGGAGGCTGTTGCCAGCAGGGGTGTGGGAAAGAGCCTGGTTTCAGAGCTAGAAATGAGATGGCAGATTTGATTCTGAGGGCAGCCAGAATCCCTAACCATATTAGGTAGGTGAACTGTGTACGTCATGAGGTTGCTGTACTCATGCTGCTACTGTGTGGAGCATGGAAACGGGCATGGGGGCAGGGGAGGCTTTGAGAGGGTGCTCTCAAAACCCTGCAGAGGCTTGGCAACCAGCACTCTTGGAGAGTGTTGGGGATGATGGACTGGAGTCAGACTAGGGGAAGAATTTGAAAAGGATGCTGGGTTTCGGGCTGGAACAGCTGTGTGAAAAGTGGGCTGCTTACTCTTGGAGAGTGTTGGGGATGACTGACTGAAGTCTGGCTGGAACAGCTGTGTGAAAAGTCGGCTGCTTACTGGTCAAAGGACAGGTTTGCAGTGGGCCATCGAGAGATGAATTCCTTTGGGATGTGTGAAATATTATTTGGCTTATATTTATTGTGGCTTTATTTTTTCTCTGATTATAAAGTAATATGTTTCTGGAAGATACTTTCGCTTTGTGTATCAAGAGCTTTCAAGTTAAGCAAGCTCATTTTATGTGTGTATATGGGATTCGACCTAGGGCCTTGTGTGTATAAGCGTGCACTCTGCCACTGAGCCATACTCCCTTCCCTTAAGCAAACTGAGCAATCTCTCCTAGTAATTAATCCTTGAGTATATACAAGTTGTTGATCTTTTTTTTTTTTTTTGTACCAGAGGTTAAACCCAGGGACCCTTTACCACTGAGCTATATCCCTAGCCCTTTTTGTTTTTTATTTTGATACAGAGTTTCTAAATTGCTGAGGGCCTCACAAAATTGCTGAGCATGGCCTGGAATTTGTGATCCTCCTTCCTCAGCCTCCCAAGCTGCTGGGATTATAGGCCTGCCCCATCACACCTGGAGATCACGTTAAAAAAATTTTTTTTTGTTTTAAGAGGAGAAAGCCTGCTGTGGAGTTCTTTGAGTTAGTGCCTCGTCTTTGAGATGTTGTACAGAACGTGTAGACACAGAGTTGACCAAAGCCCTAAGACTGCCCAGTCAGAGCCACACCATGAGACCAGCCAGGAGCCTAGAGCCTCTGAGGGGCAGGCAAGCCTCTATGGACATACCACACACACATGCCCCACCCTACTCCTGGGCCCTCTGCCTGTGGGAGGTCTCCTTGGGTAGGTCCTGTGCTAGCCTGCAGGGTCAGTTCCTGGCTAGGTGGAGGGTGCCTCCTCCTTTCTGCTGAGAGTGCCTGGTGCCACAGCGGGGCTTGCTTCCCTGGCAGCCAGAAAGATGTTCTACAAAGGTATCACAGGCTTACTTCAGGGTGATGGATCTCTCTTCTTCAAACTCTCCTCCAAAGCTGGGCTCTGTCCTCACTCTCAGAATTCCTGCAGTTTGTCAGCCTCCTTCCCAACTTCATCTCTTAAGAACCTGTACCCTCGGGCCATCTTGGACCCTTCTTCCTGAATATTGCACCACACTCCTGTTTCTGGTTACCTTTTTAGCCAGCTCCTTTTGTTTGGAGCAGAGGAGTGCCCTTTTCCTTGCCATTCTCTAAGCTCCAGCTCAAGGGACCCACTTCCTAGCCAGCTCCTTGTGTGGTGGGCAGTCCCCCTGTGCTCTGTACAGCCCTATTGTGCAGCACCCATTTTGTTGCAGTTAGGTCACTGGCTTTACCTCCACTGCTGTACCACGAGGATGGAGAAAGCAAATTTTTGTGTGTTCAGATACCTGGAAAAAGTGGAAGATTGAGGGCACTGAGGCTGGGAATTTCTCCTCTTTCATTCACTAAAGCAGGAGTTCTTGACCTCTGCAGACAGACAGACAGAGACACACACACACACACACACACACACACACACACACATACACACACACCCCTGTGGCCTGGAATCTGGGAGTGGAGCCCGGCATCCCCATTTTTAAGGTTCCCAATGTGATTCCAACATGCAGCTCAAGTTGAGTGTCCTTGCACTCAGCTTTACTAAGCTTTTCTAAGTTGCATTCAACTTTCTAATGGTGATTGAAAGCTGGGATACGTCCTCAGGCTGTCAAGGCTGACAGGTGGCACTTGTAAACTTCAGTTTCTTTGTCTGTGAAAGGGAAATGATAGTAGTTCTTAAATAATAGTGTTGTTTTAGGAGGGCATGTTGTAGTTGCATGTAAAGGACTTAGTACAGGGTATCTGGCATATATTAGCTGCATTTACTCGGTGCCTTGTGTAAAGCCAAGTGCTATACAGGTAGCAGCTTACTAAATTCTCATTGCAGATCTGTAAGGTTATTGGCTATTAGTTATTCACTGTGTATGCCAGCCTTGTGGAAGTTGTTCTGGTGCATTCCAGGCCCCTGCTAGGTGGGGTGGGAGGCAGGGGTAGACTGGGCAGTGCTCCACCAGCCCTCACTGTTGCCCTGGTGACCTGCAGGTGGACCGCTACTGGCTGAAGAATGGGCGCCGCATCATCCTGCTTGCTGAGGGCCGGCTGGTTAACCTGGGTTGTGCCATGGGCCACCCTAGTTTTGTGATGAGCAACTCCTTCACCAACCAGGTGCTGGCACAGATTGAGCTGTGGACCCACTCAGACAAGTACCCTGTTGGGGTTCACTTCCTGCCCAAGAAGGTGAGTTCTTGCCTCCATCTCAAGCCAGGGGTCATGTGTTTGATCCTGGGCTTCCCACACAGAGCTTGCTAGAATTTATAAGGAAAGTGTCTGCCTTCCCTCTTAGAGGTCCCCACAGGGTTCTATACAGTGCTAAAATTATTCTCCCCATGTGACAAAAGAGGACAGACCCACTAAGGCCCAGAGGAACCTGTGGGGAGTGACTCCTTATAGTACATCCAGAGTGGCTTACCCTGTCTGATCCTCAGGTTCCCTATTGGGTAACCAGTAAGAGTAGCTCTTGTTCTTCCAGCCTTTGGCTGTTGGAGAGGCTGTGATAGATCTTGACACCATCCTTCTACTCCTTGTTTCTGACAACTGAGGAAGAATATCTACTTGGCCTGGAGCATGTGCCCTCTGGACCAGCCAACTCTTTCCCCTTCATGTCCCTGAGCCACTGTTCTACTGGACCAAATGTTTTACCCAGAAGGACCTTAAAGTTCTGTGCAGCCTGCCAGGTCCTCAGGCTTGTTGTAGGGTCTGTTTAACCATTGTGGCACACTTGCCTTCTGATGTGGTTGCTGGGAAAATGAAATCATCCTGAGCTAGGCTGGGACGAGTAAAGAGATGATTTAGTTGGTACTCAGAGTACTTTCTCTAGGCTTAAGTTTCTTCTTCTGTTAAATACCAGTATAAACCCTGCCCTTCCTGCTTCTTAGGGATGTTTGTGAGACTCCAGTGAAATAGTAGATGTGAAACCACTTGGGAATGTAAAAGCTTTCTGAGCTGGGCTGTGATTAGAGGTTGTGGTGCCATCTTGGGATGGGACTTGGGGCCCTCGGGGAAGAGAGAGGCCCCATCCAGAGCTAGAAGCTGAGAAAAGTGACAGCCACACTCAGAATTGACCCTTCTCTTAACTACAGCATCTTGACCTTCTTTTCAGGCTCCTTTCATGCATTTTGGCACTGGTCAGAGTTAGAGGTTTACCTTATATAACTCTAGCCTCCATCCCCCTTGATTTCTGCTCCATCTCTTCAAAACTGCCCTGGAGGCTCTAGCTCAGATGCTTAATACACATTTTGGGAGCCAGATGGCTCCCAAATGTTCAAATCCTAGCTTTGTCATTCACTAGCTGTGTGACTTTGGGTGAGTCATTTCATCTTTTATAATCTTGACGTTCTCATTTGTAAAAAGAGGTGGCAGGGTTTTGTTTTTTTGTTTTGTTTTGTGTTTTTTGGTACTGGGGGATTGAGCCCAGGGGTGCTTTACTACTAAGCCATATCTCCAGCTCTTTTTATTTTTTATTTTGATTCAGGGTCTCACTAAGTTGCTTAGGGGCTCACTAATTTGCTGATGTTGGTCTCAAACTTGTGATTCTCCTTCCTCAGTCTCCCGAGTCACTGGGATTACAGGTGTACAACACCATGCCTGGTTAGGATGGCAGTTTTATTAGTTAGGATCCTTTTGGTAGCCAGTAATAGAAATTGGTTCAAATCAGGGTGTTATCTATTGCTACAAGCATTTGACCTCAAAACTTACTGGCTTAAAACAATAAACATTTAGCTAGGTGCATGGCATGCACCTTTAGTCCCAGTTACTTGGGAAGCTGAAGGCAGGATTGCTTGAACCTGGGCAACATAGTTAGGCGCTGTCTCACAAAACAAAACACTAAACATTTATTTCTGTTTTTGTGGGTAGGAGTTTGAGATCAGCTTAGCTCTCTGGTTTTGACCGAAGATCATTTTCAAGAGGTTACAGTTAAGATTTCTGCCAGGGCTGCAAACATCTGAAGACTTGACTGGGTTGAAAAATCTGCCTTCACATCACTGTTGATAGGAGATCTCAGTTTCTCTCTCCTATGTTTCCATAGAGCTGCTTGCATGTCCTCATGAGATGGCAGCTGGCTTCCCTGAGTGAGTGACCCAGGGGAGAGCAAGGAGGAAGTCACATTGCTTTTTATGACCTTGTCTCCAGAGTCATACTCATTACTTCTGCTTTGTTCTATTCATTTGAATTGAGTCATTCAAGGGATGGAGAATTAGGATCCCTTTTTCTCTTTTCTTTCTCTCTCTCTTTTTCTTCTTTTTTTTTTTTGAGACAAGGTCTTATTGTGTTGCCCTGGCTGGCCACAAACTTGCCATCCTCCTGCTTCAGCCTCCCAAGTAGCTGGGATTACAGTGTGAATCAACATGCCTGATTAGGTTCTTCCTCTTTTTTTTTTTTTTTTTTTTTGTTGTTGTTGATGGACCTTTATTTTATTTACTTGTTTATATGCGGTGCTGAGAATCGAATCCAGTGCCTCATGCATGCTAGGCAAGTGCCCTGCTCTCAGGGTCTTCCTCTTGAAGGAAAGAGTATCAAATAATGTATGGATATATTTAGTTATTTATTTATTAATTCATTTATTTATTTTTGTGGTTCTGGGTTTCCAATTCTAGGTCTTGCACATATGGATCTATTTTAATCAAAAAAGGAAACCGTTTCATGAGGAAAAAGGAGTGTTTGGGCAGTATGGTGGGTCTAAGATCCACACACTGGATTTAAGATTCAGTGTCATCGTATCTCTCATTGTTTTGGGTAGGGGGGTTGCTGGGAATTGAACCCAGGGCCTTGTACACGCTGAGCATGTGTTCTACCACTGAGTGACACTCTAGCTCCATAGTTCTGTTTTTCTCTGTGTCTCGAATCTTGATTTCTCTACATTCATTTCACTTGTCAAGTAGACTTGCTACTGGTGAACTGAGATTGATTACCCTTCTCTGCTTAGGAATCTCAGTGTAAACAGAATCCCCTGACTCTATCTTTCATGGAAAATATGTCCTGGACCGAAGACAAATTCCAGAGAAGCATTGTAGTTAGCTGCTTAAATTGGTGGAAGATGAGGAAGGAGATATAATCAGTGGTCTCACTGGGACTACTTGGTGGGGAGATGTGCAGCCAAAACAACACACCCACTGAGGCTGGCTGTGAGAATAGAATGAGGTATATTGTGTTCCAACTGAACAGTTTCTGCCTTTCTTGGTAGCTGGATACAAGTGCAGGGTCCCTGAACATGGCACTAATTCCAGGGTTTTCTTTGTTTTTCCCTAGCTGGATGAAGCAGTGGCCGAAGCCCACCTGAGCAAACTTAATGTGAAGCTGACCAAGCTGACTGAAAAGCAGGCCCAGTACCTGGGCATGTCCCGTGATGGCCCCTTCAAGCCTGATCACTACCGCTACTGAGCCGGGACTGCCTGTCACCTTCCAGCTGCTATCCCTGTCCAGGCCCCACTTCTCAAGACAAATGGCGCCTTCTTTGCAATTACTTTGTCAATGTCCCCCATCGATTCACTGGGGCTGGGCACTCAGTGTTTGGCCTGTGCTGCATCCCTCATTGTTCCAACTGTGCCAAGGGGAATTGAGAGACCCTGGTCAAGATGCAGATACAGGGGAGATATCCACAGGGAACCTTGAGCTCAGGGGTCGTGGTACTGCTCATTAGTCAGTGCTTTCTTAGAGGGGAAGTTGGTAGTGGTGGTCACAAAGCCCATGCACTTTATACAGGCCTCACCTGGTCTGTGAACTAAGATCTCTGTGCTTCGTTTATCAGTTCACTGGTTTTTCAGCCTATGACAGATAAAAAGGAGCCATATCAAAGGACAAAGAAGAACTGTGGAGTTTGAATCTTCCCGAGAGCTTCATTTACTTCATGGTGGGCCTTCTCAAACCTCAGAACCCCCATTTCACAGGGGTTAGAATAGACTGTTAAAAGACAGCCAAGAAAGGACAAGAGAAGTCACAGCCAGAGATTGAGAGAGGCCAGAAAAACACAAATAGGCATAAATCTGCCACCACTTTGTAACATGATAGTTCCTCCACAACCCTGGGTTAAAAAGATTAATTTTGGTTTATGATGTTTATATATTGTTTCGAATGTTAAAAGAAAGCAGGAAGGTGGGTAAATAAAATTTTGGTGCCTAAAAGGATTTTGAGCCTTTATCATATAATCTACTGCCAGTACTGTAGGCCTTGAAGTAGAGGTTATAGTCATGTACTGGTGAAGATTGAGAAGACCAGGGTTTGACTCAGTGTGGGATGGTAAGGGCTGCAGGCAGGTTCTTAGACTTCAAAGGTTTGGTAAAGAGGGGCTCTTCTCCCTCCCTCCCCCCCGCCCCCCCCAGAATTCTCTTTTCAGATGTGTCTTATAAATAATCTGTTTCTGTAACCAAATCTGAGACTGTCATTTAATTGATGAATTTAACCCATTTGTAATTGTAATCACTGTTTGCATTTTCCTGTGTTTGTGTGTGTGTGTGTGTGTGTGTGTGTGTGTGTGTTCCTGTTTGTATTTTTTTCTTCCCCATTTCCACTTTTCTTTGGATTGATCCAGTGTACCATGAGGGGGCTATTACTTATTGACACTAGTGTGCCAGGGGCACAACAATCTTAGTAATATTTTTAGCTAATTTTGTAGATGAGAATGGAGACTCAGGGATGGCTTTCCTAAAACCCTCCCCCGCCAAAGACCTCATCATGATTAGAATCACAGGAAGGTGGTTGGGGAATTGGGTTCCTCCTGTTTGCCTAAAAGAGCACTTATGGGTTCTTGGAAATCAAATAGAAGAAAGAACATATCTAGGGAGGGTAACCAGACTGTTCAAAGGGCCAGCCACTGAGTGGAAGGCCTGATGGGAGATGTGTTTGAGTGACCTGGCTGCTGGGATCTCAAAGCTAGAGAGAAAGCATGGATGTAAACGGCTTTGCTATCTCTTGGCATTTCCCCTTTCTGCCCAGCTTCAGAGTTCAGTGCCTGGCAACAGTAGGAGAAAGGCATCAGGAAAGAAGTGCTTGAGTAGAACTTGAAGATTTTAGCAGAACTTGAAGTCAAGGGCACTCCAAGTGACAGAACAGCTTAAGCAAGTGAGTGAGAGGATACTAAAGAGGGCAAGAGTTACAGACTTGAGAGCTGAATAAACAAGGGACTGTGAGGTACCAGAGGTTAAGGCTATTTGCCAATAAGCCTTCCAACTGTAGTGCACACCCTATGCTTGACACTCCCTTGTCTGTATTTGGCATTGAAACTACCTCTTCTGTTTGAGGGCAAATGCATTTGAGTGCCAAGAGGGGGTCTTGTTTGCTGTCCTGTTTAGTTTTTGCAGTACTGGGAATTAAACTCGGGTGCTTTACCACTGTGCTATATCCCCAGTCCTTTTCATCTTAAGATAGGGTCTTGCTAAGTTCCTAAGGCTGAACTTGATCCTCCTGGCTCAGCTTCCCAAGTAGTAAATGGGATTATAAGTGTGTGCCACCATGCCTGGAGAGCCTGTTGTAAAGATGTGATGTCAAGCCAAACCCTTGCGTCACATTCCATGGCCTATAGTCAGGCATGACGGGATGAACTCATTCAGGCTTAGGTACTCATCAGGGGATGATCCTCACCTGTTTTTCCTGAGTGTGCATAGTTGAAGTTGTGTAAGTTGCATGCATATGTGATATGATTGCTGAAAATTGTGAACTTTGATAATTCAACTATTACCAGTTGCCAGGGACATACTTAACAGATGATCAAGATGCCAATGGTCAAAACAGATCTGTTACCTGTTTTGACCTGCTGCTATTTCTTGCACACCCTTTGTGTGCCAAGCTTTGTGTTGAGTAAACACTTTTTTAAAGTATGATCTTATTCATTAGGAGATCTTTGTCAAGACTCGAATCCCTGTGTTATGTAACAGGAAACTGAGGGTCTAAGAGGAGCCTTAAGGATGAGCTGTACTGGTTGGACTCAGACCAAAATCCAAATCCTTTCCACACCCATAGGCCCAGGTTTAGGAGAAAAAGAATCTGGTTTGAGACTCTCCATCACTAGGATCAGTCACTCCGAAACTGTCCCTAAGGGCAAGACTGGCAGCCGAGAGGGTTGTTAAGCCTCACCTTGCATGATGACTTAGAAGGAGACTGCTGTTCATCTGAGCTGGAGAGATCACACTGCACAACTGCTGAGCAGCTCCTTCCTAAGGACCCCTTCCCTGTGTAAGTCTGTTTCCACCCAGACACAGGTGGATGTTTCCAGATGTTTCTTTCCATGCAATCCCCTTCTTCTGATCCCTCCGGTGTTCTGGTTTCTGTTACTCTGTTGCTTTGGAGATGTCTTGCCAGTTCTCAGAACATCCCCCCCCCCTTTTTTTTTTTTGAAACTCTCCCTTCACATCTGGTCTCAGATGTACCTCTGATCTCAGGTCTGCTAATCTGTCACATGTGTGACACTGACCATGTACCCATAATGAAAGATGATGATGTGTCTCCTGCTCCCCCACCCCCATTCTTTGTGTGTGTGTGTGTGGGGGGGTGCTGGTGTTTGAACCCAGGGTGCAAGGCAAACACCCTACCAACTGAGCTATCTCCAGCCCCCCACCCCCATTCTTAATGTCAGTGGTAGAGCACTTGCCTAACACATGCAAGGTCCTGGGTTTGATCCCCAGCACTGGAAAGGAAAAAAAAAACAAAAAAACTTCATGGGGAAGGAAAGAATTGCCGGAGGGTTCTGCGGTATCTGGACTGGCTCTTGTTTTTTCCAGGAAAGGGAGAAGGGTAGATGAAGCCTAGGGGTTTATGGAGCAGTGAGTTGAGATTTTGAAGGAGAATACTGGGTCTGCTGTTGATATAACATGTTATTTGAGATAGGAATAGAAATATCTAGGGCTGGGGATGTGGCTCAAGCGGTAGCGCGCTTGCCTGGCATGCGTGCGGCCCAGGTTTGATCCTCAGCACCACATACAAAGAAAGATGTTGTGTCTGCCGAAAACTAAAAAGTAAATATTAAAATTCTCTTTCTCTCTCTCATCTCTCTCTCTCTCTCTCTCTCTCTCTCTCTCTCTCTCTCTCAAAAAAAAAAAAAGTATCAGTTCTGAGCAACATTTAATTATATAAAAAAAAAAAAAATCTACCTTGGCTAGGTGCAGTGGTGTATGCCTGTAATCCCAGCAGCTCTGAAGGCTGAAGCAGGAGGATTGCAAGTTCAAAGCCAGCCTCAGCAATTTAGTGAGGCCTGAAGCAACTTAGTGAGACAGTCTCAAAGTAAAAAAAAATTTTTGGGGGGGGGGGCTGGAGATGTGGCTTAGTGGTTAAGCACCACCCTGGATTCAGTCCCTGATATAAAAAGAAAAAAAATCTACATCAGATGGTTATCTTGGTGTTCAAATGATAATATTTATGTGAAGAGGTAATTTTATTTTTTTGTACTTGAGATTGAACTTTACCACTGAGCCTCATTGCCAGCTCCTTTTATATTTTGGGACAGGTTCTCACTAAATTGCGTAGTGCCTTGCTAATTTGCTGAGTCACCTCAATTTGCAATCTTCCTACCTCCTGAGTCACTGCACCTGGCTCTAATTTATGTTTTTATTTTTCAGTACTAGAGATTGAACCCAGTATGTCACGTATGTTAGGTAAGCACTTAACCACTGAGTCACATCTCGACCCATAACATACTAATTTAAAATACTTAGTGTGAGGCCAGGTGCAGTGGCGCATTCCTGTAATTCCAGTGGTTTGGGAGACTGAGGCAGGAAGAATTCAAAGCCAGCATAAGTGGGCTGGGGATGTGGCTCAAGCGGTAGCGCGCTCGCCTGGTATGCGTGCGGCCCGGGTTCGATCCTCAGCACCACATACCAACAAAGATGTTGTGTCTGCCGAGAAGTAAAAAAAATAAATATTAAAAATTCTCTCTCTCTCTCTCTCCTCTCTCTCTTTAAAAAAAAAAAAAAAGCCAGCATAAGTAACTTAATGAGGCCCCAAGCAACTTCGTGAGACCCTGCCTCAAAAAAGAGGGGCTGGGGATGTGGATCCCCTAGGTTTGATCCCTAGCACCAAAAATAAATAAATAAGGTTTCACCTGGGGGCTGAGGGATTAGCTTAGTGGTAAAGCCTTTGCCCAGCATGGATGAGGACTTAGGTTCCATCTCCAGCATTGGGGGGAAAAATCAGATCAACACCTCAGGGCTACATGCTTAGCCCTGGCATCTTTAATATTTGAAAATCATTGCTTCAGAATATGTCAGAATTCTGGAACTGGAAACGTCCTCAATAGTTCAAGAGTCTAGCCCCTCTTAGGGCCAATTATGGATTTTGCTCCCCACAGGAACCATATCTGTGATTTTCACTTGGAGAATTACCCTCCCATATTACACAGGGATTTTTGGAATTGTCAATTGTCAATCAAGATGGACCACCCTTTCCTAGGCACCAGGTCAGGTCAATCAGACTGCTGGGAAGAGGAATTCTAAATGGTCCAGTACAAGGACTGAAGAGGTTGAAGCTGACTTATCCCTGTGGCCTTGCTGTGAAGTCATTGTCCATTGGTTTCTGCCACTTGGCTTCTCTAGCATCCCTTAGGCTTTCCTATGAGATCTCCAAACCTGTCCTGTAGATAACCTCTCACCTTCCCCACAACCTTACACTAACCAAAATACTTTGATTTAATCCTCACTTTATAAACAGGAATTGATATCACTGAAAGTGACTTGTTAAAGGCCACACTGTGAAAACTGGGTACAAATTTAAGGCTGGAAGAAATTATTATGAATCAATAGTCATAAAGGTAAAGCAAAGCTTCCCAGGACAGAGTTCACCCTGTGTGTGAAAGAGGAGGCCAGTGCTCGATGCTAGAGTACTTGCCCAGCTCTAGCGTGTGTGTGTGTGTGTGTGTGTGTGTGTGTGTAACGGGGAGGGGATGGTGAAAGGATGAATAATGATGTTGATCCTCCTAACAATGGAACTGTAACTCATCAAAGTAGGCAGAGTTTTGCAGAGGCCCAGAATCATGCTCTCAGGACCCTATGATTTGATGAGAAATTCTGAAAAGGTACAAGAATCTCAGGATCTCAAACAGAAGGGAAACTTGGGCAGGTAAACACTAAACTAGGGATCTGAGTCAACAGAAGCAAGAGTCTGAAGGAAGAAATCATACTAACAATTGCTTTAATCTTTAGCAAGGGCCAATGGTCATGGGCCACTGGACCATAGCTCTATAGGGAAAGCATCCATGTTTGATTTCTTCCACAGTATTTATAGCACCTGGTACACAGTAGGTCCCTGTACACAGTGAATAATGAATGGATGGATTAGTTCTGTTTGAGGCTGTCTGTATCCAGCAGCTAAATGGCTTTGTTACTAATGCACTCAATCTTTAGCTTTGCCTCCCCAGCCTCACCCTGGGGGCCAAATGGGGCCTGGCTGGTGAACAGTGTCTGGAAAACACAGGAGCAGTTGCTGCAATATGCTCCCAATATTCTTATTATTGATGACATTTACTCAGCAACAGCTGTGGTACAAAGGACAAAAGAGTCTTGCCCTGTGGGCTTACAGCCTAAATGACAGAAAACAAAATAAGCAACTGGCAGCTTCTATGTGTGAGTGTGCATGGTTGTTGTGTTAGGCACAGAAAAACAACAACATACCTTGGATTTATAATGAGAACAGCAGGAATGATTATTTTCCACTTTATACACAAGTAAATGGAAGCTCAAAAAGACACGAAGACTTGCCCAGTGTGCAGTTGTCTTGCCTAGCCTGGAGAGTACCCATCTTCTCTTTTGGGATCTGTCCAGGTAGTTACCACTCCAAGACAGGGTCTGTTGGAGAGAGGTACTTGGCTCATTTTTTCCATATTAGCTATGTCACTACAGGCAAGATTTGGGTCTCCAGCTGGGAAAAAGTTTGGGACAAGAAGGGTGTTCTCAATAATGAAAGAGGAAAAATTAAGTGGACAAGAGGGTCAGAGTAGGTGGTCCCACTTATGTTGGCCTCTGAGCCTCTCTGTCCTCAGAGATCTGTGGTGATTAGTCAGCAGTGAGGTAAGGGATTCATGTTTTCTTGTCTCATGGCCTCTCTCTAGATTTTTTTTTTTTTTACAGCACTGGCCCTTTTCAATGTTAGCTTCTATTACCACCATTGGGGAATGGCTCTGGCTGTTAGGGGCCATTGACAAGTGGTATCCTCTCAGCTCTTCTCCCTACTGGCAGGGTTCCCTCCAGCCACGCAGAACAAGTAGCTTATGTCAGCTGGAACCCTTCTTCCCAAGGGTCTGGGAATTTCCGTGTCACACTGCACCCTAGCTGGCACTTCCTTACAGACACTGCTCCTTCCTCTGACTCCTCAAAGCAGTATCTAGGTGCTTCCCCTCTCAGGGCGTTTTCAAATATACAATGCTGCTGTTGGGGTAAACATAATCAGTGCCTAGGAATGAAGGACTTTAAACAGTGCTAAAAGGAAGGAAATGGAGAAGGGAAACTGGGCACTCCCCTTGTCTCCAATCTTTAGGTGAGGATCAAAGCAGAGTGACCTTGGTTGTAATGTACTCTTAGGGGCTGGGGTTGTGATTCAGACGTAGAACACTTGCCTCAAATGTGTGAGGCACTGGGTTCAAGTCTCAGCACCACATAAAAATTAAAAAAAATATTGTGTACACCTATAATTAAAAAATAAAATTTTTTTTAAAAAGAATGTACTTATAAAACATCTGAAGAAATCCATCTGCGCAGTGGGCAGGCAACCATATTATATATTCTCCTTGCTTGTAGCCTGCTGCAGCCCTCTATTTTATCCTGTCCTGCTTTCCACCCTCCCCAGTACGTGAGTAATAAAATCCAAACCCTCTCAGATGCTGCTGCTGTTGGAGTAAGGAGAAAAGTTCCTTTTTTTTTTTTTTGGATTTGAAAACAGTACCCCGGAGCCTATGCAGTCCTGAGGTTGAAAGCTGCACCTCAGTTTCTCACATTCTTGCATTTGTGGAATTTCAGGGAACAGCTTGCAATATTTTTGGCAACAGCACTTTGATAATTGAGCACAATGATTGCTGAATACACACTAAGCTCAGGCCCACTGCCTCCAAACTTGCTGATAACAGCTAGGGTGGGGAGTGAGGAGGAGGTCCTTTTTTGGGAGGTTGGGGGTACCGGGAATGGAACCCAGGGGCGCTTAACCACTGAGCGCCATCCCCAGGCCTTTTCATGTTTTATTTTGAGACATGGCCTCGCTGAATTGCTTAGGACCTCACTAAGTTGCTGAGGCTGGCTTTGAATTTGCGGTCCTCCTTCCTTAGCCTTCGAGATAGCTGGGATTACATGCGTGCACCAACGCGCCCAGCGAGATCCCTAAATCCTTGCTCTCTCGGCCTCCAGAGTTAAAAATGCCTGGGGATCAACATCAATATTCATTTAGCTTTGGGTGGAAGAAAACTCTTCCCAGCTCCCAATACCTTGTGGGAGAGAAAGCTAGAGAGAGGAGTGGGCTCCAGTGGCACCTTTGGGAGCCTCCTAAGCCTCTAAGGTCCTCAGCCCTGAGCCTTGGCGTTGAAACCACAGCAAACATCCAGTCACAGTCAGCCGACCATCTTTGTCCGAAATTCTGCGAACCAACAGCCCAGTGAGACTGCATGGAATTCTAACATTTCTTATATTCTTTGGGGGGTGGTTGAAAAGAGGGGAAGAAGGCACTGAGGAGAGCTTCTTAGAACTAGAAAAGGTGAAAGACTGAAAGGGGGCTCCTTGATAGCTCTCTTTCGCCAGCCGGGTCTGCACTCCCTCGGTGTTCCCAGTGCTCAGAGGTGGGGTGGAGAAGCGAGTGCAGCAGTGGGCGGAGCTAACTGGGCTTTCCCACCCCAGGAAAGTAGCGCTAGCGCCTTCAGCCGGACTTCCCGCAGCGTGGGAGGATCGATCAAGGGACAGCGAGCTTTCTGGTTCTTTAAAGAAACAGCAACACAACTTCGAGCGGCCGACAAATGCTATATTCAGATTTTAGCGTGAAGTCCCGCCTCCTGACAACCCTGGCCCAATCCCAATAGCTACGCCCGCACTAGTCCCAGAAGGATACACTTTATTAGAGTGCCCCGCCCTTGCAGCCCCCCCCACTCCCGGAAGCCCCACCCAATCCACGCCCCGGAAGCCCCGCCCTTCCCCTCCTGCAGCCGCGAGTGGACGCACTCAGCAGTTGCGGTTGAGTACGCGACAGGAGCAGACGCTGCCGAAGAAGCGGCACACGCAGGAGGCGCACGGGTCGCAGCAGGGTGGCGACGGCGACTTGCAGCTGTCGCGGGTGGCCACGCAGGGCGTGGGCGGAGGGGGCCGGGGCCGCGCTACCTTCTTCATCGGAGCCTTTTTCTGTAGGGGAAATGCCGGGCTGCTGGAACTGGCCATGCCTGCCGTGCTTATCGTCTCGGCCTGAAAATTCGGGGCTATGAAGCCTCGGGCCAGACACTCCCGCCACCGCCACGCTTCCACCGACCGCTCTACTCATGCTCACGGGGCACCGCAGCTGGTCCCTGCTCGTTCCCCCAATCAGGTCACCCCTTCTGTCTCTGGATCCCTGTCCAGACTTACCTGGCTTTGGCCTGGCCTTTTTCTCTCCTTAGAGGACCCTACACAGCTCCATCGTTTTAAACCAGTTTATCCACAGTCCCTTTTCCCTCTCCACAGTTGTGTCTTCACAGTAGATCCGGAGTTCCCCCACTTCTCTCTCACCGCGGGTACCCAGGGCCGGCCACTATCTTCTCCCCGCTGTCGTTTTGGCCCCTTACGGTCCATCCTTCAGGGAACTGAAGGAACCTTGTGGAAGACCTAAGATCTCATCCCAACCCGGCTTAAAGCCTTCTGGTAGTTTCTTCTTGCATTTCGAATGAACTCAGGGCTTCAGTTATGCTAGACAAGCATTCTGCCTCTGACCTACACCCCCTGCTTTTTTATTTTTATTTTGAGGTAGAGTCTCCTCAGTTTGCCTTCCTCCTGCCTCATCTTCATTAGTATCTGGGATTACAGGTGTGTGCCCAGCACTCCCCTTTGGCCTCAGACCTCTGACTACACGGCAAATGAATTTTTGCTGTGGGATCTTTGAACTTGCTACTTTCTAGCCTGGGGTCATTTTTTGCTGGCTATCCAGTACAAGCAGCCACAGCCACATGTGGCTACTCAGTACTGAAATATGTCTAATGCTACTGAGGAACTTAATTTTCTATTAAAATTTTTTTTAAGTACTGGGGATAAAACCTAGGGTCATTCTACCACTGAATCACACCCCCAGTCTTTATTTTTTATTTTTGGCACTGGGGAATGAACCCAGAGGCACTTTACCACTGAACTACATCCCCAGTCCTTTTTTTAATTTTTTATTTTGAGACAGGGCCTAGCAAAACTGCTGAGGATCTTGCTAAATTGCCAAAGCTGGCCTCTGATTTACGATCCTCTTGCCTCAGCCTTTTGAATCACTGGTATTACAGACGTGTGTCTCCACCCCTGGCTATTTAATTTTAATTAATTTTAAAACGGAAGCATTGTAAAAACTTTTTTTTTTTTTGCCATTAAACACAAGTTTATTTTATCAGGACCACATTTTACTTTGTTGAAGATTTAGCTTTGAATTTGAGATGTGCTGCATCAGCTATACTATACACCAGATTTCAAAGACTTAGCATAAAAAATGAATATTTCAGTAACTTACAATTGATTGCATTTTGAAATGTTAATATTTTAAATACGATGGGCTGTTATTAAATTAATTGCAGCTGTTTCTTATTTTTTCTAATGTGGCTATTAGAGAATTTATACTTCTATATATGGCCCACATTGTTCATTAGACATTGCTGCTCTAGGTTATTGAGTTTTTATTTCAGTGTTCTTTCTTTAGGCCTTTTTTGACTAGTCTTCCCTTCATTTTCTTTCATCATTGTGCTTTAATTTCTTCACAGCCTTTATCATCTGAATTTATTTTACCTCTATTTACTTGCTGTTCACTTGTTTCCCCACAAAAATGTAACCTTCGTGAGAGCAGGGATATTTCTTTTTTGTTCATTGAATATTCCTAGTACCTAGCATGTAAATATATTAGTCCATTATATATTGTCTGTCAGTCATCTGACCTGCTCATTCCTCTAGAGCCATCAAAACAGGACCAGAGAAGCAGAGACTTTCTCAAGATCACACAGTATGCCAGATTCTACCTCTCTATACCTAGTCCACTGGTTCTGCTGTGGTTTCAGTTGATCTGATAAATGGAGGCACATTAAAACAGGAATAATGTGTACATCCAGTGTTTCCCAAAGTGTGGGGACCTGTATTATGGTGCAATGATTTGAGGTGATACATGAATAATAAATGACCCTGAATCATACAATGAGAAAGGATTCTTTTAAATATCTCAACTTGAAAGGCTCAGTTTGGTGCTAATATGTCCTTAATGTTTCTTTAACACTATTTGCTTTTTTAAACACAGAGATCAGGCTTCAGATTTATAGCATTTAGTAGACAGTACCATCCAGTGAGACTTCACTAACAATATTTTATTTTCACTTATTTTTCTATTAATAGTGATACTGGTTTTCTATTATCTTTCTGTATTTTTAAAAGTTTTGATTTGAAATAAGTAGGTAAAACTCAGATATGGCAAAGGTTGTGGAAGTGATTCTGAAATAACCCCTTGGAAAAGACTGAGCAATAGTGAATTTTCAGACAAGGGGCTAAATCAGCATCAGAAGATGCTTTTCAGTAGGTAAGCAGTTTTGCTCAGTGAACTTCATCTGCCTGGGCTTCTGTGGGGGGAGGGGGGCCTGAGGACTCTACATTAACCAAAGAACTGAAAGGTAGCTTTCAGTTCTTTGGTTAATGTAGGCCTTGAAAATGTTTTATTTCATTTTTAACCACAGCTTAGGGGTCCTTCTCTTTTAAGTCTGATCCACCCTCCCCCACAATGAAAACTCTCAGGCCTACCTTGGAAGATCTTGTCCTCTTTTCTGCTTCTGTTCTGCTGATCTTTTTGGATTTCTTGTTCAGTGCTTCAAAGAGAGACAGAAGGAACAAAGCCAGATGTTTCCGGGGACCCTTTTACAGCAGTAAAATGGAAGGAGCTGAGGGCCTCAGAGGGTAGTGGGGGGGAGGGGAAGGGGTTGGCCTTGGCTGGATGAATCACATCATGGGACTCAGCAGCAGGTTCTTGTTAGCCTGGCTGCTAACCTGGAGCCAGGAACTGAGGGCAGTGAACTCTGAGGAAGGCAAACAGGAAATCTGAGGAGGCCCTGGGATCTGCCTGTAATATCCATGAGAGGCCTGGTCTTTTGACCTTTTTAGCCCTCACCACTTAGTTACCCCAGGCGCTTCTTTAGTCTTTAACCTGGCAGGTGAAAGATATTGTTATCCCCTGAAAATGGGATAATGGGATATCAATACCTGGATACAACTGTGTTACTACTTTCTATTTCTTAGAGTTTGGAGCCAGGCAGATCTCATTTAAATTCTAATTCTGTCATATAACAGCCATGGAACCTGCCATGCAACAGGTGAGGTTACCTCATTAACCTCCTTGAGACTCAGTTTTCTCATCTGCGAAAGGGTTCTATATTACCTATCTTGCAGGGATAAATGAGTGTGTTTATAAAGTGAAGTTTGCTGTATCAAAGATAATCAGTCAATGTTGGTGTTGCCTCCCTTCCCTGCCCTTATTCCCCTGATATGTTTAGAATATCCTCTTTTCCTAGGGAGAGACAAAGGCAATAAAGAGATATTAGTTTTGAGCTTTAACATTTCATCTGCGTTTGAATTCTGGCTCTGCCAATTAAGAACTTTCTGATCTTATGCTAGTTATTTAACTTTTCTAAGCCTCAATTTCCTCAATTGTGATATATAAGTAAAAAAAGCCCCCACCTCATAGTACATCAATTATTATTTTGGTTAGGATGGAGCCTGGGGCCTTGCATGTGCTATGCACACACTCTACCACTGAGCTGCTCCCCCAGCCCATGTCTACTATTATCAGATGAAGTCAAACCAGATCTCTAATGCCAGGTTCTAATGCCCCTCATATTTTCCCCTGGGCAGCAATTCTAAACCTTGCCATGGCAGGACTAGTTTATCCCAGACTTGGTTATATTCTCCTAAAATTTGTTACCATTGATAGGAGTCCTGGGATTCATTAACTTTCAGAAATGCTGTTAGAACAAAGTTCACCAAGCAACTTGACTTCAGGGTTTCTCAGAGTTTCTAACATGCTAAGCTGCATTTTAGATTGGTTGCCTGCAGGGCTTTCCCAAACCCAAGGAATTAAAGGATACTTTGTTCCCCTAGGACTGTTTTACAGGATGAACAAGAAGGACCCATGACTATGGTAGTGAATTTTGATAACAACTTGGGAACTAGGCTTGACATCTTGAAGCCCCCTTTTATTGGCCAGATACCAGAGGCTGGACGCCTGGCTACTTACCCACAATAGAGACAGAAGGGATATCCAGTACTTTCATGGAGGAGTTGCTCCTTAGGCTCCCGTCATCTCTGGGCTCCTCCTCAGGTGCCAGATGACTGTAAGCAGCGAGGATGCATAGGAAGACCAGTAGGGTGGCCAGAAGTAGGCGGGTGATATCCATCCCAAGAGGCCTGAGTGGGACAGAGAAAGTGCTTGGCAGCAGGTGGGTCAGGGGTAGTGGCAAGAGAATGTGCTTGCCTGCTTTCTTTGTGTTCCTTTGGGCTGGCGTTGTTCTGCCTGTTCCACAAGTGTCCCAGTAGAGCAGAGGACTAGTAAAGGCTTAGGAGAGGGAACGGGAATTGATGTAGGAAGAAGAGAGAACAGGGGATGGGGAGAGGAAGAGAAAGACGAAGGAAGGAAGGGAGGGAGATCGAAGCAAAGAGAAAAGGAATGCATTGTGTTGGTTTCTGCTATCCAGAGGGCGGAGTACTGTTTCTGTTTTATTATTATTTTTTTAAAGTCAATAGTCCCAAGAGTCCCTAGGCCTGGGTTGAGTTGTTGAAAGTCCTGCAGTAGTGCCTCACTGTGGCCGAGGTTTTACTAAGGTGCAGAGAATAATAAGATAGTTCACAATGCAGGGATAAATGGTTYCTTCAGACAAGTAAGTGTATTAGATTCCCATATGCAGAGGAAATGAATGCAGGTACAGTTTGTGTCAGAAGAATGAGCCCATCTACAAAAGGTAACTGGATTTATTTATTTGCTAGCTGAATTTTGAAGGAGGCAGATAAATCTCAGAGTGGATTTCTTCATTTAATACTGGGTTTTGCTTAAACATCTTCAAAGAGCTTCAGCAGCATCTTTACTTCCTCCAAGTATGGAACCCCCTACCCCAACCCCTGCCAACACCCTTCTCTAGTTCTCTGTTTTCATTCTTGTCTATAAAAYGATTGGAACTGCTTTTCCAAGGTTCCCTCCATCCTAGCCATAAGCTACTGTGGGAGAGAAGAGAACAAAACACTTCGTTCATGCTGGTCCTACCCACCCCTGGGCAAAGCAGCCAGGCCAGGTTCTAGCCTACTTCTCCTGGCCCTCAGCTTGGTTGGAGTCAAATTTTCTGTATGTCTGTTACCTTGCAGGAGAAAACCCAACCAGCCACCTGCACCCTCATTCCAAGTTTTTTGAAGTTGGAGGGGACAGTCCTGACTTTTTGAAGTTYATCCTTTACCCTTCTCAGCCCTAATTTCAGTTCTGATTTCTTCAGATTCTCTCATCATTGGGCACTAATTATCATAATCTGTTTGTCACTAGCAAATTTTCCTCAGGGTCTAAGTCTTAAAATATCTTTCTTGAAGCCTAGTAAGTTGATGGAATGGGCATTAGCCAGAGAGTSAGGACCACTGAGTTCTTATCTTTGCTTAGTTGTTAATAAGATGCATGACTTGGGCAAACTGGTTCTGTTTTATGAGCTCCAATTCTCTTGGTAAAATGAACACGTTGGGCTAGATCAGTGGTTTGTATTCATTTATCGGAGGAACTCTTTTTTCAAAAAACTTTACTTAGGTCCTAAACAATTTATTGAGATCCTGTCTCAAAGAAAATATAAAGGTGGGTGCCATGGTGCAAACCTGCAATCCCAGTTCGTATCAGAAGAATGAGTCCATCTACAWAAGATAACTGGATTTATTTATTTGCTAGCTGAATTTTGAAGGAGACAGATAAATCTCAGGAGGCTGAGGCAGGAGGATCACAAGTTCAAAATCACCCTTAGAAACTTAACAAAGCCTTAAACAACTTAGCAAGACCCTGTCTCAAAATAAGTAAAAATAAAGTATAAAAATGGCTGACGATGTGATTCAGTGATTGAGTGTCCCTGCATTCAATTCCGGTACCAAACAAACAAACCAAAAAACCAACCCATCAACTTAAACAAAACAAAACATTGGCATGGAGAATCTCATATGTACAACAGAAAGAGGCAATAAAGGTGTTTTCAGGCAGTCCATACCTTTGTTGTGTGYGAGAACAACACATTTCCTCAGGGTCTAAGTCCAAAAATATCTTCTGAGGCCCTGTGTTTTCCAGCTCTGGGCAGTTTGATCTTTGAGGTTTTTAGCCCCTAATAACAATAATAAAATCTAATAAACCTATATAAAAAAAGTCTCGGGACTGGAGTGTAGTTATTTGCTCCATCTTCTGCTTCTTAAAGGTTGTTTTATCCTCGAACAAAGTCCTCATCATATTGTTTATGTGTTCATCTCTTTTACTTGATAAAAAAAAAAAAAGAGTTCATGTTCTACTCATTTTTGTGACCCCAATTGACACAGTGAYCAGCCCAGGGCAGTAACTCAAAATGTTGGCTGAATAAATGTTTGTGTACTGAACTAAGCTCCTCATCTTCCCTACTTACCAACACAAAAATATTTTTTCAGCCGGGCGCAGTGGCGCACGCCTGCAATCCCAGCGGCTCTGGAGGCTGAGACAGGCGGATCGTGAGTTCAGAGCCAGGCTCAGCAACTTAGTAAGGCACTTAGCAACTCAGCAAGACTCTGTCTCTAAATAAAATATTAAAAAGGAATGGGGATGTAACTCAGTGGTTAAGTACCCCTGGGTTTAATCCTCAGTACCAAAAAAAAAAAAAAAAAAAAGTTGTCTCCTTAGCATCGGCTATTATCTTTCCCCTTAAGAGGAAGTCTTAGATACACATTTTGAATTGACAGTGACCTAACCCCTATCTCCAGGTAAGCCCTTGATTTCTCCATGACAAGTAGGATAATCCTGTCCCATCCTCTCCAGTTCAGACATGGCATCTGACTAGAGATGGTCTAATCAGAGGAAGCCCAGGCCTTTATCTGACGGAGGAAACCCTCTTTCACTGGGTATGTAATATACAGCCAGCAGTTCTGGTTAGTGCTGGCAGTCACTTTACAAATAGAGCCAGTTTTAGGATGAAGCTCTCCGTGGAAGATGGCCTGGGCAGATAGTGAAAAAGAACCTCGGTAAACTATTCAACCACTGGATCAGAACTTGCCCGAAGATCATCTATATCTGGATTTAACAGATTAGGCAATTATTATCCTTTACTGTTTTAGGATAGTATGAGTTGAGTTTTCTTTGACTAACAACCCAAGGCATCCTAAAGGATACCTTCCTTTGCAAATTGCAGTGGAGTTGCATCTTACCAAATGGTTTAGGACTAAAGTCAGACTTCAGGGAAAAAAAACTGCACAGAGTACAAATTTTCTCCAGAATGGCAAATGATGGCTCTTCTCCCCACAACTGAGGCCTTTTCTTTCTCTTCTCTTTCTCCTCCTATTCCTTTCATTTTGCAGCAGAATAAGTAGTTGGCTTACTTTTAAAAATTTTGTTGCATGAAAAAATTTTTTTTCTTTGAACATTAGGATCATGATGTGCACATAGCAGAAGACTTTCACCCTGTGACAGGAACTGAGACTCGTTGACGGCACAGCAGATCTCAGTTCCTAGTTCTCCTCACCCCAGAGCAGATACTGTCCAGATGAAATGTTGAGCAGAATCACCTGCATTATTTAAATTACTCCTCTCCTGGCTTTACTCATTCACAAAGTACATATAGTTGACTTGCAGATGTTAAATATATGCATGATCTGGCTCCATTATATGTTCTATCTTTGTTCAGTGACTATCTCTTCCCAAGGAAAGAATCTTGGTCTCCATCTTTGACTTACATTTTCCTGACCTTTATATATCCTGTCACCAAGTTTAACTTTTTGTTCCCTTCAAATTGTTCCTCATTTTCTATTTTCTGTCCACCCCAGTTCATTGCTCATTCTCAGTGGAACAAGTTTCACACCACTCCATCTCTGTGCTTTTGCTCTGGCTTCATTAATATCTACTCTCTCAGCTGCCCAGGTCATATCTCATCCTTCTCCAGGGCCCAGTTGGAATAGTATATTCAGTGTATTTTCTCTTTCAGCACCAGGACATTCCAAATAGTGCTCCCCTTTTCTAAACTCCTCCAATCTTAAACTCAATACTGTATTGTTTAGTACTTTATTGTTCTTTAATTGTTCATGTGGATTATTCTCATCAGTTAGACACAGGAGGACTGTGCCCCTGAAAGAATACAGGCCCTGTGGTTAGATATACGTGACTTTACTACTTACAAGCTATGTGAGGGTATAGGGGAGAGAGAGATCCCCTCGACCCCCTCTTAGTTATTATGTGGGCTCTTTGGCTGGATCTAGGAACCCATTTAATACAAAACTGATTAACAAGAGAAAAGCATAACGATTTTATTAAATTTACATGTACGTGGGGATCTTCACAAGAAAGTGAAGTCCAAAGAAACGCCTAAAGCATGATGCTTTTATACTTCTTAAACAAAGAACAATAAATTTGTGAAGTAATGACAGGACAAATGGCTCTATGGACTGGGAGGTAAATTTTGGGGATGTATGGGGTGGGGTAAAAAAGCTAATGGAAGATAAGGGTTACTTCATAGTTTGTTTATTCAGGTTAATTTCCCCCCCACCCCACCATTACCAGTCTCTGGTGATTAAGGCTAATTTAGGGCCTTGGTATGTGAAGGGCATCATTTCACAAAGAATCTCTATGGCTTGCTGCATGTAAGAAAAGACAGATCAAATAGCCCTTTCCTGAAGTTACTCTTCCTCTAGTGATTTCAACTTGAAATAATCAATATCTATTTTGTGGGTGTCGCAACATGTGACTAAATCAGGTTCATTCTGTGTGAATTGGGCTGGCGACTAAAAACCACATAAAATACCTTTTTTGGAGTGCAGTGATGGCTCCTTGGCCTCAGCTCCCAAAAGGGAGGCAAGAGAGACAGGCAAGAGAGAGCACGCCCCAACCCTGGTTTTTATTGGGGAAAGCTGTTTGATAAAATATTCCATCCAAGTAAGACAAAGGGGTACTATTACAAGAGAACAAGGGGTCGGGTTTCAGGGGATTGCTTGGTGATGTCTTGTGGCCAGCAGATTGACTGACATCTTGGAAAGCCACACCCAACTCAGGTGCTATGTGGGTCACGGCAGAGTGAGCAAAAAGGCACACATACATGGCACCGCCCAGTCAGGCAGCAATGTCAGTCCAGTTTTCTCATATGCTCAAGTGCGCATAGCTCACACACACAGCCCATGGCTGGCTCATTTTTTTTTTTTTGGTGCTGGGGGTTGAATC